CCAGTTTAGTCTTATGCTTGACTAGATATGGACTCCATGCTGGAGCCGCATACTCCAGGATTGGCCTGACATATGTGGTATATAATGTTCTGAAAGATGCCTTACACAAGTTTCTAAAGGCCGTTCTTATGTTAGCCAACCTGGCATATGCTGCTGATGTTATCCTCTTGATATGAGCTTCAGGGGATAGGTCTGGCGTGATATCAACCCCCAGGTCTTTCTCTCTCTCTGACTCTTGAAGTATTTCATCTCCCAAATGATACCTTGTATCTGGTCTCCTGCTTCCTACCCCTATCTTCATTACATTACATTTACTTGGGTTAAACTAACAGCCATTTGTTCGACCATTCCTGCAGCTTGTCCAAAAAGCTTTGTGCGCGTGCGCGGGCGTGCGTGCAGCTGTCCGAGGTGAGCAGAGGTCACGGGAGCCAGGTGAGGGGTGACCCCTGGCTGTTACAATGAGGGCTTCGTAATTACAATTATTACTTAACCTATTATAGGTATAGGTTATACCTATTATAGGTATAGGTTATACCTATTATAGGTATAGGTTATACCTATTATAGGTATAGGTTATACCTATTATAGGTATAGGTTATACCTATTATAGGTATAGGTTATACCTATTATAGGTATAGGTTATACCTATTATAGGTATAGGTTATACCTATTATAGGTATAGGTTAAGGTATAGGTTATACCTATTATAGGTATAGGTTAAGTAATAATTGTAATTACGAAGCAATAAGATGCTTATCTTAACATACTAAGAAGGTTAGGTAAGGTCGGTGTTTTCTATGAAGCTTTTCAAGGTAAACTACAATATTCACAAAAAATTAGTATGTCACATATGCACGTATTTAATAAGTCAATATTGACTGTAAGAAAGTGCGAGAACGGGTTGCCAGAATACAGCTGCCATAGTCACAGTGAACACTGTATGAACACGAGAGGTTCACTGTTGTTCAACATCCTCCCAGCGAGTATAAGAAATGTTGCCGGAACAACCGTGGACATCTTCAATATAAAAAAAATGGACAGTTTTCTTCAAGAAGTGCCTGACCAACCGGGCTGTGGTGGGTATGTGGGCCTGCGGGCCGCTCCAAGCAACAGCCTGGTGGACCAAACTCTCACAAGTCAAGCCTGGCCTCGGGCCGGGCTTGGGGAGTAGAAGAACTCCCAGAACCCCATCAACCAGGTATATGTGGGCCTGCGGGCCGCTCCAAGCAACAGCCTGGTGGACCAAACTCTCACAAGTCAAGCCTGGCCTCGGGCCGGGCTTGGGGAGTAGAAGAACTCCCAGAACCCCATCAACCAGGTATATGTGGGCCTGCGGGCCGCTCCAAGCAACAGCCTGGTGGACCAAACTCTCACAAGTCAAGCCTGGCCTCGGGCCGGGCTTGGGCAGTAGAAGAACTCCCAGAACCCCATCAACCAGGTAGAATATTAGCGTTGTTAAACAACCTCCATGACTTTGTATCCTTATCTAAACCTTTATTGTGCTCCTTCCTATTCTTTATCTCTCTCTTCTGTCCCCTTTTGACAGCTGCTATTCTCTTTTAAACTAGTTAAGACATCAACATCCTAGTTAGACATCCTAGTTAGACTAACTTAAACTAGTTAGACATTAAAGACATCAGCTTCACCACACAACATGACATCACAAGCACGGCATAACACTGAGGTCATGCAACAGGATCGAACACGCGTCTTTGGACGCCTCAAACACGTGTACTTTCCATCTTGGGTTCTCGTGCTACTCACTGTTCCACGTGTAATCACCTAGAAGTACTTGCGGAGGGTTGGGCTTCAGCTCCCTGGTTTCACGCGTCAACGTTTAAGTGTACAGGTCTAGGCTAAAGCCTCGTGGACTGTCAAGTTTATGTTTAAAACTGTGCAGAGAGCTGGTTCCCACCTGGGCTTCCTCCGTGTACCATATGCCTAACATCAGTGAGAGTGAGAGAGAGAGAGAGAGAGAGAGAGAGAGAGAGAGAGAGAGAGAGAGAGAGAGAGAGAGAGAGAGAGAGAGAGAGAGAGAGAGAGAGAGAGAGAGAGAGAGAGAGAGAGAGAGAGAGACAGAGAGAGACAGAGAGTGGGTGAGAGAGAGTGGGTGAGAGAGAGAGTAGGTGGGTGAGAGAGAGTGGGTGAGAGAGAGAGAGAGAGAGAGACCGTAACCGTCAATCCAGAATGGCCCGACATGTAATTAGCGTTTAAAATGGCCGCATTTCCCTCGACGTGTTAAGCCTCACCAGCCAAGCGAACCCAAATCCACCATTACCCCTTCCCAAGGCGGCACTCCTCTCCCCTCCGGGCCAGCGCTAGTGAGAGCTGGGAGGGAGAGAGAGCAGGGAGGGAGAGAGAGATGGGAGGGAGAGGTGGGAGGGAGAGGTGGGAGAGGTGGGAGGGAGAGAGAGCAGGGAGGGAGAGGTGGGAGGGAGAGAGAGCAGGGAGGGAGAGAGAGCAGGGAGGGAGAGAGAGATGGGAGGGAGAGGTGGGAGAGGTGGGAGGGAGAGTAAAAGCAGCGAAAGAATTTTACCCTAACTTCCTGTAGCACTGTTCCATCCCCCCGCTAATAGAGAACAGCAAAAATCACTGCCGTGCACCACACCGCCCAGTGATTAACCCCGTCACTACACGCATAACCAGGTTATACAAGGGGGGAGGTTATACTAGGGGGGAGGTTATACAAGGGGGTTATACAAAGGGGGGTTATACAAGGGGGGTTATACCGGTCAAGTTTCCACAGGCGTGGCCAAATAAGGAGGCTTCCAATTTGAAATTCGGCATATACAATTTTGTGCCTTTTCGTTGGGATAGGCTGTGTTAGTTTAGATTGGGATGTGTTAGACTCTGTTAGGCTAGGTTGGGATAGGTTGGGTTAGGCTGGGCGTTAGAATAGGTTGGGTTAGGCTAGGCTAGGTTAGGCTAGGTTAGGCTGGGTAAGCCTGGATACAGTTTAATTGGTTTTAAAACGTCGTGTGTACGATGAAACACCAGTTTCTATGGCCTGTATAGTACCCACTAGGCTACCCGGTACCCCACCACCACTAGGCTACCCGGTACCCACCAGGCTATACCCGGTACCCCACCACCACCAGGCTACCCGGTACCCACCAGGCTATACCCGGTACCCCCACCACCACCACCAGGCTACCTGGTACCCCTATCCCCACCAGGCTACCGGGTCCCCCCCCCCCCACCAGGCTACCCGGTACCACGTTCACACGAGTGTCAAAACATTCCAATAATTCCCAGGTTTTCAGTTCTTGTTTTATGTTAAAATTATCGTGTACTTTCAAGAATTATTTTTTACCGTAGAACACAAAATTTGTGGCCAGAACTGTGTTGCTGGACAAGGAAACTTGTGACCACACGAACACTACCTGTCCCCAACACAACACAGGCAACACAATCCTCCCCCCAACACAACACACAGACAACACAACACAGAGGCAACCCTAAGCACTAAATTACACTGATTTTTTTTTTCGACACTGCGTTGGCTATATGCTCGTAGATCAGCTATAGCCCTGATCTACCAGCATATAGCCAACGCAGTGTCGAAAAAAGATCAGTGTAATATAGTGCTTTGGGACGTCTCGAAAGCCTTCGATAAAGTGTGGCACACAGGCCTAAAATATAAGATATCTGAACTAGGGCTTCCTGAGAGATTTACTGCTACTCTCTGCAGCTTTATAGACAATAGAACTGCTAGGCTTAATATCGGCAGCTACTTGGGTGACGTAATAGAACTGAAAAGTGGAGTACCACAAGGAAGCTGCCTCTCCCCCACTCTATTCAACATATATACAGCTGACCAACCCCAACCCCAACATGGAGAATACATCACATACGCTGATGATGTTACCCAAATAATATGCCAACCGGGCCCATCAAAGCCGCTACTAGCCGACAAGACCAAGGCAGCAATTGAACTCAAACAACTTTGGGAAGCAATGGAAAATTAGCACCAACAAACAAAAGTTCCAAATAATACACATTGCGAAAAGAAACCCGGACCCCATCATCCTTGATAACCAGCCCATCCAATATGGGAGGTAGGCAGAATACTGGGACTTATGATAAATAGAACAGGGATACAAATTCATGTAAGGGACCGACTAAACAAAGCCAAAGCAGCATTAGGAAAACTGAGAAGATTCCGAAGCCTCAGTACTAACATTCAGATCCACCTATATAAGGCTCTAGTTCGGCCGCATCTAGAGTATCCCCCAGTACCACTACACACCATAAAGAAAATTAACATGCAGAAACTGCAAGCAGTACAAAATAAGGCGCTAAGGAGAGCAGCAAAACACCGTCCACCATATGATCAGACAATCCAGGAGCTCCACGAACTCCTGAACACACAGCCACTAAACATCAGACTGCAGCACCAAGCCATCAGGGTATGGAACACCATCCAAATGTTAGAGGACCCAATGTTTGAAAGATTACTCCAAGATGAGACGCCCCACTCCCACAGCTGGTGGTCCAAGATGAGACGCCCCGCTCCCACAGCTGGTGGCCCAAGAGCCTCGATTCTCTGGACGAAAACCCCGCCCCACAGTATATAATCCCAAGATGAGTTATATATGTATATATATGAACAGTTCATATATGTGTATGTATGAACAACTCGATAAATAATATGTATGACAACTCGATAAATAATAATAATAAAATAAAGATCATTAAACAGAATAACGTGTGTGGAAGCATCGGAGTGTGTATATATGAATGCTACACAGTATTCATCTATAGACATCCATATATGGTGAAACACATGTGAAGAACCTCTCACACACTCACAGCTCCCTGACAAGAGGGAGCCAGCTTAGCTTAGCTGCCAACACCCACACATCGTGTCAGCAAGGCGGACAGCCCGCCTGCTTTCATACCTCTCACTGTATTTCCCACTTCTATACTTCCCTTCACCTATGCCTCTCCTTCCTCTTTACTCCCCCCAAAAAAAAGAGGCAACCCAACACAACACTCACCAGGGGCCCGAGGTGTCTCTGTGCTGTGCCACACTGAACCCAAACTTGCTGTGTGGAGGACCTTGATGAATGACGATGTCTTGTGTCTCTATGTTGAAGCACAGCCCCCGGCCCGCCCCCGCCCACACCCACGCCCACAACACTCCCCACCACACCATAACTAGTTTCCTCTAACTGTCCAACAAGCCAATTCCAAGGAGCAAAGTCTTATGACAGAAACGGTATATCCTTTTTTACAAACTGCATTCCTCTATTTCACTCGGGGCGTTATCTAAGTACTTCCATCTTGGGGTATTTGGCTTAGGGAATGAATGGGAAGACCCGAAATTGGCTTGAAATGGGAGATATTTAGTGAAATTAGGGTTTCATACAAAGGGTAGCGGAGCGCGGCGCGACACACCCTTCCTCTTCACGAGCCAGAAGTCAACTGGCTTGCTCTCCGGTCGACCTGGAGATGTTGTCAACACAGGCTGGAGAATCTCTTTCAACGTCAACCAAAACATTCCATATATTGACCGATTCATCGCCCAGAAATCAAGCTTATTTTCAGCATATGACGGGGGATGGGAGGGATGCCCCCCCCATGACCTCGAAACACCGAAAGATGTGCATTAGTGTTGCTGGCGCGGTGTTGCCAGCTCTCTGGTCGACCAGATGATCCGATGTAAACACCACCAGCTGTTGCGGAGGATATCAACTTGTTGCACTTTTCAGTGCATATTTAATGCCGGTGCACAGGTCTCTGTACCTCATATGGCACTCTGCCCCCCCCCCTTCCCAGTTATATATCCTCACAAGAAAACCTTTAGAAAATTTACATTCTATAGAATTCGATAAAAATAAAGTGAGATTTGTATACAATCATTATTATCATATATTAAAATTTAACTCCAAAATTACTTTCTACTTTCTAATTGCGTTGTTCGTCGGTGCATGTATTATGGTCCTGATCGTTACTATAAGTACTTCCACAACAGGAGGATGGACTCATTAATACACTCATCCATACACGCATCCATACACTCATCCATACACTCATCCATACACTCATCCATACACTCATCCATACACGCATCCATACACTCATCCATACACTCATCCATACACTCATCCATACACTCATCCATACACGCATCCATACTCATCCATACTCATCCATACACTCATCCATACACTCATCCATACACTCATCCATACACGCATCCATACTCATCCATACTCATCCATACTCATCCATACACTCATCCATACACTCATCCATACACTCATCCATACACTCATCCATACACTCATCCATACACTCATTGTTACGGTCACCATGGACCAGTGACCGGGTTCTTGTTGGAGGAACCTTAGTTGTCGTGTCGCCCCCCAGTCAGTGGTGACTAGCACGGTGAGGCTACATAATGTAATGGATTAATAAGGGAGAGATGAACTAAACACTTTCACCAATGTATTTACCAACACTATAAATATATGTACATATATGTAAGGGAATATGGACTAATACTACACTTATTTACAATAAGCGTCTTTCACACATGACACTTAAAACGCACACACCTGTTCAGTGGAAGAGTAGTTAACAAATGGAATGCATTAAGTAGTGTTGTGGTGGAGGCTGACTCCATACAGTTTCAAATGTAGATATGATAGAGCCCAGTAGGCTCAGGAATCTGTACACCTGTTGATTGACGGTTGAGAGGCGGGACCAAAGAGCCAGAGCTCAACCCCTGCAAACACAACTAGGCGAGTACAATACAATGTTGATCAATGTCAGTGTGTCCACCACACTCAGTACCTTTCCCAACCGTACTGGGAAACACTGGCGAGTTTCACCTGTTCGTGGGCCAATCCACAGACAGCGTCACGAGGTGCCATTACCCGACTATCGCCCTCCAACTGCACGCTGACAGAGGACTTCAACCACATGCTGACCGGGGTCACGCCACTATACAGGGGTAGCCATCCCCCTGGCAGGAGTCCCTAGCGACAGGCTAGCAGCACTCCACTCCAGGAACCTCACTGTCGTCCAGTACTCTCCCAAGCCAATTCCCGGGTACGCCGATCCCTATCCACACTGGGTAAATCCAGCAACCAACACACTGCTATGATCGTCGGCGGGTTACGTGGTCTTCTTCCAGGACCAAGCTGAGAGTACGTGGACTGCCCAAGGTCAACTGCCGTCCTCAGTACCACTGCAGTTAAAATTACCTACCATAAGTGAGAGAATTTTGTCTATTAGCACAGTTTTCGGCGTGAAGGCATTGAGTAGATCTAGGCAACACATGAAGTTTCAAGCTAAACTTTCTAATATGCTACACTCACCTGAGGTCTATAGAAGAAGAACGAAATCTGATTATGTATATTGGTTCTACAAGGTAGCCAACTCCATCAAAATATTAAATATGTACCCAACTCAACTAATGATTAATCAGCCAACTACTCCATGGGATAACTGGGATCTATCAGTTGATTTTGTAAATGCGCCCAAGAAAGATAGTGTGCACACCACATTATTAAAACAGTTAACACTGAAAAGCATCACTGAAAGTACTCAGAGTATGGGTAACGATGTTTATCAGTGCTATACCGACGGCTCTGTAGAAGAAGGTGGACGAAGTACCGGATGTGCATGTAACATATTTGAACAATCTTCTCTCGTACATACAGCAATGAAGCGCGTCAATGACTGGGCAAGTACAACTCAAACCAAACTTGCAGGCATATACCTTGTCACTGAATTTTTAAAAGACAAAGGCAGTGGACTTATATACTGTGACTCGCAGAGTGCACTCCTGGCATTGAACGCACATAGTAGTGACACCCATAAAATAGTCAGTGATATTCGAATGAATGTTTTAGCTGCTAAAGAAAACAGATTTGAGATTAAATTTCTATGGATACCATCACATGTTGGCATCTCAAGGCATGACACTGTTGATATGCTTGCTAAGTCAGCCTGCAGAAAACCAGTGGTAGAAATTGATATGGGTGTTTCATTAGCAGTGACAAAGAGAATACTTAAACAAATATCTAATGAAAATCTCACCGACCTAACAAATTATCAAATACCTGAAAGTTGTAGCATTAAATATTATGATAGATATCGTGAGGAGACATTCACATATGGGACTAATAGAACAAGAACCCGGCAATGTGATGTTATAGTGGCCAGAATACGCCTGGGATATAGACGTATCTGGCAGCTTTCTCAAAACCCAAATGTCGAGTACACAATGTGTCAACTTTGTGAAAGAGAAAACATGCACTCTCTTGAACATTATATTGTAGAATGTCCCATACTGACTGACTTTCGCCCTCCTGGGCTAAGGTATGCTGAACTCTGTAGTTACTATATGAGTACTGGAACACTTGATGATATATTGGACTTGTATCCAAGATTGTCCATGTAATATATCAATTATACAATATATATATATGATGTAACTATATAACCTGAGCTTGTAAAAGCACCTTCATCACCTTCAGTGATTAAGTGCTTAATTGTACACTAGTTTCTCTATCAGCTATCTCACCCTGTCAGAGTAACTGGGACAAATGTATGTGAATGCATGTGTGTGTGTATATATGTATGTATATGTGTGTGTGTATGTATATGTATGAGTATAAAGTATATATGGAAGCTGATCAGAATTACATTTCACCTTTGTAAATGCACATTAATGACACTATGTAAAAGACACATCAAACACTTTATGTAGGCCATACGTAAATCTGTGTATCTATGTATTTACGTATGTAGGTTAGCTTAGCATTTTAAAAGCACCGAATCACCTTCTGTGGTTGATTGTTCAATAAACCCTTGAACTATATGTTTAACACATCTCTCACCCTGTCCATGGAGGACAGAAGAAAATGTATATATGCTGGTTAGCTTTGTAAATGTCCGGCCACGTCTGTGGTAGAAAATAATAATAATAAAAAAAAAGTTAAATGGAAGGTACTGATGAAACAACCCGTTCTCGCAAATTTAATAAGTCAATATTGACTTATTAGTTGCGTGCATAGGTGACATACTAAACATAATAGTTTCCCTTGAAAAGCTTCATAGAAAACACCGACCTTACCTAACCTACTTAGTATGTTAAAATAAGCATCTTATAGCTTCGTAATTACAATTGTTACTTAACCTATTATAGGTATAGGTTAGGTAATAATTGTAATTACGAAGCAATAAGATGCTTATCTTAACATACTAAGTAGGTTAGGTAAGGTCGGTGTTTTCTATGAAGCTTTTCAAGGGAAACTATTATGTTAAGTATGTCACCTATGCACGCAACTAATAAGTCAATATTGACTTATTAAATTTGCGAGAACGGGTTGGATGAAACCAGGAAGTGACGCTTACTCATTGGGGAATTGACATAGTGCTCTGTAGCACAACAGATGGCGCTGATCATGAGTCGTCGCCTCACCCCGAGGTCGTCTACAATGACCTCACGTGCTAGCCACAACAGGAACCTTGAGCCACTTACCATAATCACGCCACCGCCCATAGATGGCGCTGTCTACGGAGCGCACCTCTCCCGGCCAGTTGGTGTACAGACTCATAGATGGCGCTATTACCAGGCCATAGTCAGCCGGCGGTGATGAGTCTGTAACACTCATCCATACACTCATCCATACACTCATTAATATAGTCATCCATACACTCTTTAATATAGTCATCCATACACTCATTAATATAGTCATCCATACACTCATTAATATAGTCATCCATACACTCATCCATACACTCCTCCATACACTCATTAATACACTCATACATACACTCATTAATACACTCATCCATACACTCATCCATACACTCATTAATATAGTCATCCATACACTCTTTAATATAGTCATCCATACACTCATTACATAGTCATCCATACACTCATTAATATAGTCATCCATACACTCATCCATATAGTACACTCCTCCATACACTCATTAATACACTCATACATACACTCATTAATACACTCATCCATACACTCATCCATACACTCATTAATATAGTCATCCATACACTCATCCATACACTCCTCCATACACTCATTAATACACTCATACATACACTCATTAATACACTCATCCATACACTCATCCATACACTCATTAATATAGTCATCCATACACTCTTTAATATAGTCATCCATACACTCATTAATATAGTCATCCATACACTCATTAATATAGTCATCCATACACTCATCCATACACTCCTCCATACACTCATTAATACACTCATACATACACTCATTAATACACTCATCCATACACTCATCCATACACTCATTAATATAGTCATCCATACACTCTTTAATATAGTCATCCATACACTCATTAATATAGTCATCCATACACTCATTAATATAGTCATCCATACACTCATCCATACACTCCTCCATACACTCATTAATACACTCATACATACACTCATTAATACACTCATCCATACACTCATCCATACACTCATTAATATAGTCATCCATACACTCATCCATACACTCCTCCATACACTCATTAATACACTCATCCATACACTCTTTAATATAGTCATCCATACACTCATTAATATAGTCATCCATACACTCTTTAATATAGTCATCCATACACTCATTAATATAGTCATCCATACACTCATTAATATAGTCATCCATACACTCATCCATACACTCCTCCATACACTCATTAATACACTCATACATACACTCATTAATACACTCATCCATACACTCATCCATACACTCATTAATATAGTCATCCATACACTCATCCATACACTCCTCCATACACTCATTAATACACTCATCCATACACTCATTAATACACTCATCCATACACTCATTAATACACTCATCCATACACTCATTAATACACTCATCCATACACTCATTAATACACTCATCCATACACTCATCCATACACTCATCCATACACTCATCCATACACTCATCCATACACTCATCCATACACTCATCCATACACTCATTAATACACTCATCACTCATACACTCATCCATACACTCATTAATACACTCATCCATACACTCATCCATACACTCATCCATACACTCCTCCATACACTCATCCATACACTCCTCCATACACTCATCCATACACTCATCCATACACTCATCCATACACTCATCCATACTCATCCATACACTCATCCATACACTCATCCATACACTCATCCATACACTCATCCATACACTCATCACTCATTACACTCATCCATACACTCATCATACACTCATCCATACACTCATCCATACACTCATCCATACACTCATCCATACACTCATCCATACACTCATCCATACACTCATCCATACACTCATTAATACACTCATCCATACACTCATTAATACACTCATCCATACACTCATCCATACACTCATCCATACACTCATCCATACACTCATCCATACACTCATCCATACACTCATCCATACACTCATCCATACACTCATCCATACACTCATCCATACACTCATTAATACACTCATCCATACACTCATTAATACACTCATTAATACACTCATCCATACACTCATCCATACACTCATCCATACACTCATCCATACACTCATCCATACACTCATCCATACACTCATCCATACACTCATCCATACACTCATCCATACACAAACTAGGCCTCCCAGATGGGCCAAGAGTCACATAGAGAGCATTAAAAAATATATAAACATTTGTTGTTTAATACAGGAGGCCTGGTCGACGACCGGGCCGCGGGGACGCTAAGCCCCGGAAGCACCTCAAGGTAACCTCCTTAATGTATGACATAATTATTCAGGAATTAAATAATAAACATTCGGAATCCTTTTATTGCTAATTTAATTAGTTTTTTTACATATATAATATGAAGCTATACATCTATTGTATATATGTCTTTGACCTTAATGAAATGTACATCTCTAAATCTTCCTATATATTGTGTCTTTTTACATTCACATTCATATTATATATATATATATATATATATATATATATATATATATATATATATATATATATGTCGTACCTAGTAGCCAGAACTCACTTCTCAGCCTACTATTCAAGGCCCGATTTGCCTAATAAGCCAAGTTTTCCTGAATTAATATATTTTTATAATTTTTTTCTTATGAAATGATAAAGCAACCCTTTTCTCTATGTATGAGGTCAATTTTTTTTTATTGGAGTTAAAATTAACGTAGATATATGACCGAACCTAACCAACCCTACCTAACCTAACCTAACCTATATTTATAGGTAAGGTTAGGTTAGGTAGCCAAAAAAAAATAGGTTAGGTTAGGTTAGGTAGGTTAGGTAGACGAAAAAACATTAATTCATGAAAACTTGGCTTATTAGGCAAATCGGGCCTTGAATAGTAGGCTGAAAAGTGCGTTCTGGCTATTAGGTACGACATATATATATATATATATATATATATATATATATATATATATATATATATATATATATATATATATATATATATATATATATATATATATATATATATATATATGTCTTCGTACTAAAGCTGAAGTTTCAGGTTACGAAAATTTAAGTTCATTGTTCTTTACTGTGTAGATCCATTGAACAAATATAGTGTTCTGTGAAGCTGTTCATCCAGTCACTTGTAAATGTCTGTGAGCTTCAACAGTCAGGCTAAAAACTGGTTTAACTTGACTGTTTCAGTAGACTGTTAACGGAGTATTGAGTTTATCCTGACTCGCTCGTGTGAGCCTGTGTGATCACGTCCATCTGTGAGAACACTGTTCACCTGTGAGAACACTGTTCACCTGTGAGAACACTGTTCACCTGTGAGAACACTGTTCACCTGGAACAAGCAAGTTTTCACTGCGGTTGAACACTGACTGCTCGAGACTGTTGTCTCCTGTGTGTGTGTGACTGTGAATGTCAGCGAAGTACAGTGAGGTTTTTCACTGACTAATCTAGACCTTTTTTTCTAGCTTCTGTGAGGGTCTGTGGAAGTCAACAGAGTATTCTTCAGCAAGGTGCGACACTGACATACCTGGGCTCTCATGTGTGTGGGGGCTGAGTGTGGACTCTCACATGTGTGGGGGTTGAGTGTGGACTCTCACATGTGTGGGGTTGAGTGTGGACTCTCACATGTGTGGGGTTGAGTGTGGACTCTCACATGTGTGGGGGTTGAGTGTGGACTCTCACATGTGTGGGGGTTGAGTGTGGACTCTCACATGTGTGGGGGTTGAGTGTGGACTCTCACATGTGTGGGGGTTGAGTGTGGGCTCTCACATGTGTGGGGGTTGAGTGTGGACTCTCACATGTGTGGGGGTTGAGTGTGGGCTCTCACATGTGTGGGGGTTGAGTGTGGGCTCTCACATGTGTGGGGGTTGAGTACGGACTCTCACATGTGTGGGGGTCGAGTACGGACTCTCACATGTGTGGGGGTCGAGTACGGACTCTCACATGTGTGGGGGTTGAGTGTGGACTGTCACATGTGTGGGGGTCGAGTACGGACACAAGTCTCAGTGGGACCAGGGCCCCGCCTGCACAACAAAGGGGACACCTTGGACTGCGAAGTTCGGGCGGCAGTTTTGAACCCTGCTTACTGTGAGCATTGAATTTTTCTTTCAAGATTGAAAAGGCAAAAACAATTTGCATATAAAGAAATTATCCTCATAAAAATAAAAAAATTAATTGCAGGCATCGTGAAGAAAAATTCAACACTCTTAGTGAGCGCGGTACGAAACTGCTGCCCGAAATTTTCACGTCCTCAAGAAATATCCCCTTTTGACGGTGAAGACAAGAGGGTAACCTTGGCTCACTACTACAGACACGCCTTCCTTCTTGAGGGCCTCGTGTAGCGCCGTCTCCACCCCGGCCGACAGACCGAAGAACTTGAGCTTAAATTTGCTGCCGGAGGCCCAGTGGTCGTGGAAGCAGGCGCCGAGCCGCGTGGCGGTGTCGCGGTCTAGTTCCTCGTTATCTACGCGGTAGTAGCAGAGAGAGAGCTCGGCCAGGCGGGGCAGGTTGCTGACAAGCTGGTGCAGGAAGGTGGTGCGACAGGGCGGCAGGTGCGACAATCCTGACCGCACTTCGCACACTTTGTCCAGCATTAGCATGCGCAGCTCTCCGCACGAGCGCACCGTGTTGCCGATCTGAGCGCAGGTCTTCTCGTACTGATCGAACCTGAACTCCCAGTTGCCCAAGTTGAGTTCTCTAAGTTTCCTGAAGTTGGATCCCAGCAACTCGAAAAACTTGCAGGCGGCGTTGTCGTCCAGGGTGGTGGCCTGAGTGTGGGACGACGACAGGTCCAGACTCGTCAGACTGTAACATTGGGGACAAACATTGAAGCAGAGACAAGAGAGGGGGCTACAGGGAATTATCTGAGTCACAATAACATTCACAGACTGTAAGTCACAGTGACAGAGGTGGCCATTAGACGTCAACCAACACATGTGCTCAGGTTTGGCTCCCTCCCTCACTTTCTACCTTTACACGTGTGTGTGAGGGTTGGGTGTCTATACCTTTCCAGGTGTGTGGGGTTTGGTGTCCACAATAACACGGGAGACTCGTTACACCTTTTAAAATGTTATACAAACAATGAGTCATGACCACAATAGCACTAAAGGATCACATGACCATTCCTCCAAACAAACCAACATTTACAAAATCCAAACTTTCCGGCAATACCACATAAGAAAGGCTTAACCCCAAGGAACATCATCAGGTAATAGAACTTAAGATAGAACCTCCAATTGGGCATAAGAAGAGGCAGACTCCCATGGACCAATGGGCTTTCTGTAAATGTTCTTCATACATATATTCATATTCCATATATTCCAGGAAGACAGAACAAGATCGACCAGTAAGAACCCTCACATACTTTGGACAGTTCCTAAGGAGAGGAAGCAGGAGGTGACTCCGTCGGATAAACCCGGGTTGTTCCTTCAGCTTGACCTCTGAGAGCCTCAAGGTCTTGATAGAGGACCAGTGCTGGATGGGGCCGTTGATGGGGAGGAGGATGGGGGGGAAGAGCGTAGGGGAGGTGGGCATCCCCACCCCTACGTCAACTATACAGCTGCTTAGGTTCAGGTCCAGCACCTTCCACGAGCTAAGGAGGTCCTTGAAGTAGGCGACGGACAGGGCCTTTTCCTATGGGGGAGATAAGACATGTTATGAGCCGTTGGTGAGTTAATGCAGTTACTGATGTGCTAGTCCTAGACTGCAGTGGAGGCTACAGTTAACCACTCCTGTGTAACAAGTGAATCACTTGAGGCTACAGATGAACCACCTCCCACGTGAGGCTGCGTGATCGTCCAATACTTCACTGCACTTTAACCATCCTAGATTATGTCTCACTTACTGGAAGAACTAACAAGGAGTGCCTGGCACTGTGATGCTTTTCCACCCCGTGAGTGTACCCTCCCTCCCATGAATACCCCTCCCATCCCATCAATTCCCCTTCCATCCCATGACAATGTGACATGGAGGCAGTGTCGAAGATACCTGGAGGTTGAACTCCCAGTGAGCGAGGGAGAGAGAGCGCAGGGTGGTGTTGTTCCTGAGGGCGGTGCAGGCCAGCTGGAAGGCCGTGTCGGTGAGGACCACGTTGTGCGAGTCCAACTTCACCGTCGTCAGCGACTGTGACTGTCCCAGACCAAGCAACACTGGCATATAATCCTCCGCCTGGAGAGAGAGAGAGGGAGTGAGTGAGAGGTTCATTTCCGGGGTGGGGAAGGGGCGTCCCTCAACTCATCTCAGGGGAAGGGAGTGTGTATACCTCATCTCAGCAAGGGAAAGGAGTAGTGTCACTCATCTTAGTTGTACATATACACAATTAGACACATTTCACATCAATTATTATTAGTTATGTGCACCGAGTTCTTTTTAGGATAGTATATGGTCAAATTAAAATGATAGAAAAAGGAGATTAGAAAATGAGATTAGAAAATGGGAAATATTACATTATTTTTTTCCCTACCACAAACGTGGCCACAAATTTACAATCCTATACATCATTTATACATGGAAATGTATATGTTTATCTCTCAGAATGTTTGGTAATATGTTTATTGCTTGTGATGTGTGTCTATGTATGTATTAACACGATGTACTGAACGGGGTGAGAATAGCTTGAGCTACCTCATCCCTTTGTGTGTATTTTACCTCAATAAACTTATTTCAATTTCAATCATTTATACATTTGTCTTCTGTCCTCCATGGACAGGGTGAGAGAGCTGTTAAACCTATAGTTCAGGGATTTATTGAACAATCAACCACAGAAGGTGATTGTAGTGCTTTTATAATGCCAATCTAACCTAACCTACAGACATTAATACACGGATTTACGTCTGTTCTATGTAAACAGTGTTCGAGGTGTCTTTTTACAGTGTCATTAATGTGCGTTTACAAAGGTGAAAGGCAATTCTGACCAGCTTCCACATATCCTGTATACACATACATACAGGATACCTCCCCCGACCACGGTGGTCTCCGGGGTTGGAGGTCCCTGTGCAGTTCTTCACCACCTTCGAGGTCAACCCCGGAACTCACAGTTCCTGCCACGGCGCTGGAACCAATCGTATTGGCGTATGTCTTTCCGTTGGAGACTTTCAGCGCCGTGTGTGTGTGTGTGTGTAATTACCTAAGTGTAGTTACAGGATGAGAGCTACGCTCGTGGTGTCCCGTCTTCCCAGCACTCTTTGTCATATAACGCGGTGTAACTACTGACGGTTTTGGCCTCCACCACCTTCTCACCTAACTTGTCCCAACCGTCTACCACTCTGTTTGCGAAAGTAAACTTTCTAATATGATTTCGGCACCTTTGTGTGTGTGTGTGTGTGTGTGTGTGTGTGTGTGTGTGTGTGTAAGAAACAGACATATTAGACACGATAGAAGACAGGTCGGAAGTCAGTCAGTTCGTAAGACAACCGACGGTTAGAAAAGCAGGGAGGAGGGAGCCGGTCGGCCGAGCGGACAGCACGCTGGACTTGTGATCCTGTGGTCCTGGGTTCGATCCCAGGCGCCGGCGAGAAACAATGGGCAGAGTTTCTTTCACCCTATGCCCCCTGTTACCTAGCAGTAAAATAGGTACCTGGATGTTAGTCAGCTGTCACAGGCTGCTTCCTGGGGGTGGAGGCCTGGTCGAGGACCGGGCCGCGGGGACACTAAAAAGCCCCGAAATCATCTCAAGATAACCTCAAGATAAGATAGCCCAAGAGCTAAGAGCTCGACAGGCACCAACACACCAAAGAAAAAAGATAAACACTCACCTTCTTGAGCCCGAGTAGCCTGAGGGAGGAGAGGTTCCTGGCCCTGCGGATGGCGTCGCCGAGGCAGACAAGGTCGGCGGTGTTGAGGTAGAGACAAGGGTAGTCGAGGGCGAGACTACGGACGCTGGTGTCAGGCAGGGCGGAGAACAGCGTGTGGAACATTGACTGGTGCTGACACCCGCCCAGACACAGCGGCAGTGGCAGCCTAGTCTCCCCTACTGCAGTCACAACCACAAAAAAATAACTCACACATTCTCTTATTTAGTTATGTAATCATTTAATGGGGCTTCATTAGTTAGTTATCTCTACCTTTTAGTCAGCTTAATTAGTTTATTATTAACATCTTAACATAATAATTGTTAATTATTATTAACAATTAACATATTTATTGACAACAATTAATTTCTCTTTTGCCTAATGTGAGTTACTCAATTAGGTCTAATTGAGTAACTCACAATAATATATATATATATATATATATATATATATATATATATATATATATATATATATATATATATATATATATATACATATATATCATGGGTTACAGTCAGCTACATTAGACAATATATATATGTTTCCATTTACGAGTTTATAAATCCAACTTTGTATTGAGCACTGTCACACAAGGGCAGGAATAGTTCATAACAGATGCAATTTAAAAATAAAATAAATAAAATTGTTCTTCATTCTTCAAAATGTAGATAGTAGATACTACCCCCACTAGCTTAAACTACCTTAATTAGTCAACTTTTACCCCTCAACAAGGACTCACCTCCATTAATAAAGAAGTACCCCCTGGCCTCGTACTTGTGCCTGGCGCCACTGTGAAGCGGGTCCTGGAACAGGTAGTGTAACTCTCTGGTCGGGTCCAGCATCCTTCCAGGCCGAGGACTGCGCTGCTCCGGGTCCTGTAACACCGATACACTCACTTTAGTGTTCGTCTTTGTGTGTGTGTGTGTGTGTGTGTGAGTGTGTGTGTGTGTGTGTGTGTGTGTGTGTGTGTGTGTGTGTGTGTGTGTGTGTGTGTGTGTGTGTGTGTGTGTGTGTGTGTGTGTGTGAGTGTGTGTGTCTGTGTGTGTGTGTGTGTGTCACCTTATAGGACAGCAGGATGGACTTTAGTGCCTGTCTTGAAGAGTGTATCAGGTTCTGGGACAGCAAGATGGACTTTAGTGCCTGTCTTGAAGAGTGTATCAGGTTCTGGAACAGCAAGATGGACTTTAGTGCTTGTCTTGAAGAGTGCATCAGGTTCTGGGACAGCAAGATGGACTTTAGTGCCTGTCTTGAAGAGTGTATCAGGTTCTGGAACAGCAAGATGGACTTTAGTGCCTGTCTTGAAGAGTGTATCAGGTTCTGGAACAGCAAGATGGACTTTAGTGCCTGTCTTGAAGAGTGTATCAGGTTCTGGAACAGCAAGATGGACTTTAGTGCCTGTCTTGAAGAGTGTATCAGGTTCTGGGACAGCAAGATGGACTTTAGTGCCTGTCTTGAAGAGTGCATCAGGTTCTGGGACAGCAAGATGGACTTTAGTGCCTGTCTTGAAGAGTGTATCAGGTTCTGGAACAGCAAGATGGACTTTAGTGCCTGTCTTGAAGAGTGTATCAGGTTCTGGAACAGCAAGATGGACTTTAGTGCCTGTCTTGAAGAGTGTATCAGGTTCTGGAACAGCAAGATGGACTTTAGTGCCTGTCTTGAAGAGTGTATCAGGTTCTGGAACAGCAAGATGGACTCTAGTGCCTGTCTTGAAGAGTGTATCAGGTTCTGGAACAGCAAAATGGACTTTAGTGCCTGTCTTGAAGAGTGTATCAGGTTCTGGAACAGCAAGATGGACTTTAGTGCCTGTCTTGAAGAGTGTATCAGGTTCTGGGACAGCAAGACAGGAACACTTTGAGAATGTGTAGCAAGTCAGGGAATGTGTTGTGTATGAGTCTGGTCTTCTGGACCTCTCAGTGTAAGTCCTGGACTCATAATGCCACCATAACTTTCTGTCTATATTTCTGACATTTTAGTTGTCTCTGGAAACTCCTTGCGTGTGTAGAGATACGAACCTGTATCATCCAGGAATACTGATTTCTGCCTCTAAACATATTAATTTACGTTACTGTGGGGCTGGTCACGACTATCACTCTAGCTTCATCGTTTTCACTCGTGTTTCATTCACTCTGAGTTCATTTACTTGTGTGTGTGTTGAGGACAAATCCCAGTGTTGAGTGACTCACTCATCCACCTAACTCTTCACTCTTCCACCTTCTGTTTTTCACTCTATCTGCTCTATAGCCTATCTGTTAACTTCCTTATATCTCTCCCTTTTCACGTTCCCTGTCAGTGACCTTCTACCTGTCAGTGACCTCCTACCTGTCAGTGACCTCCTACCTGTCAGTGACCTACCTGTTAGTGACCTCCTACCTGTCAGTGACCTCCTACCTGTCAGTGACCTTCTACCTGTCAGTGACCTTCTACCTGTCAGTGACCTTCTACCTGTCAGTGACCTCCTACCTGTCAGTGACCTCCTACCTGTCAGTGACCTCCTACCTGTCAGTGACCTTCTACCTGTCAGTGACCTCCTACCTGTCAGTGACCTCCTACCTGTCAGTGACCTTCTACCTGTCAGTGACCTCCTACCTGTCCAATGTAGGCGTCCCGGCTGTTCTTAGAGGCGTTGCTCTTCATCTGGACCTGGCCGGTGTGCATGTCGGAGGGTGTCAGAGCCAGTTTGGTCATGAACAGTCGACTCTGGTCCATCAGCTTGGCCTTGTTCATGGAGACTGCAAGAGTGAACAGCGTCAGGCGTAGTGAGACATTATGTAAGCATGCGTAGTGAGACATTACGTGAGCATGCGTAGTGAGACATTACGTGAGCATGCGTAGTGAGACATTACGTGAGCATACATACTAAGACATTACGTGAGCATGCGTACTAAGACATTACGTGAGCATACGTACTAAGACATTACGTGAGCATACGTAGTGAGACATTACGTGAGCATGCGTACTAAGACATTACGTGAGCATACGTAGTGAGACATTACGTGAGCATACGTAGTGAGACATTACGTGAGCATGCGTACTAAGACATTACGTGAGCATACGTAGTGAGACATTACGTGAGCATACGTAGTGAGACATTACGTGAGCATACGTAGTGAGACATTACGTGAGCATACGTACTAAGACATTACGTGAGCATACGTACTAAGACATTACGTGAGCATGCGTAGTGAGACATTACGAGAGCATACGTAGTGAGACATTACGAGAGCATACGTAGTGAGACATTACGTGAGCATGCGTAGTGAGACATTACGAGAGCATACGTAGTGAGACATTACGAGAGCATGCGTAGTGAGACATTACGTGAGCATGCGTAGTGAGACATTACGTGAGCATACGTAGTGAGACATTACGAGAGCATACGTAGTGAGACATTACGTGAGCATACGTAGTGAGACATTACGAGAGCATACGTAGTGAGACATTACGTGAGCATACGTAGTGAGACATTACGTGAGCATACGTAGTGAGACATTACGTGAGCATACGTAGTGAGACATTACGTGAGCATACGTACTAAGACATTACGTGAGCATGCGTAGTGAGACATTACGTGAGCATGCGTAGTGAGACATTACGAGAGCATGCGTAGTGAGACATTACGTGAGCATGCGTACTAAGACATTACGTAAGCATAAGTACTAAGACATTACGAGAGCATGCGTAGTGAGACATTACGAGAGCATGCGTAGTGAGACATTACGAGAGCATGCGTAGTGAGACATTACGAGAGCATGCGCAGTAAGACAAGTCATACAGGTTCTACATAACACGCGCCACTTCACGACCGTTAGCAGACACAAGGCAACTATCAAGGGGAAAGCGCCAAGCCATGACGTCTATATGGCACTGGGAAGGGGTCAAGATAAGGATTTGGGATGGGACGGAGGGAAAGGAATGGTGCCCAACCACTTGGACGGTTGGGGATTGAACACCGACCTGCATGAAGCGAGACCGTCGCTCTTCCGTCGAGCTCAAGTGATTGGGCTAGCTGAACAGAATCAATCGAGCCCATCCTCCTTAAGATAGTATCTAGAGCAACTATTGGCTCGAACGTACAAAAAATGGACTGTTTACGGCGACAAAGTTAACGTTTTGTACTATTCAGTTTGTCAAGGGCAGCAAACCAGAGGGAATAACGTTCTAGGCCTGGTGCAGTACATATATCTATACTATAAGAACAAATGTCTGTCTGTCCAAGGATGGAGGCCAGACGCTACGGGATAGCCTCACCCAAATTTGTTGGGAGCGGTGTGGGGTGTGGGACGGACATAGGCTGGTTCCTGTTAGCTCAAATTAAATGCTGTATGAAACACAGCGTGTAATCCAACACCCTGAGTGAGTGATGTGCCCGAAACGCTGTGCGTACTAGTGGCTTCAGGTATTGTATGTACAAGAGCTCTATCTATAAATCCAACATTATGTTCGTAAATTAACTATGTATGTATTTTTCCTGAATAAAAATGTATTTATTTATTTATATATTTTCATGAAGTCTAAAATGAATCCGGGATGACATGAGGAATAAGTCCACAGAGTTTGAGGTCACTGTCAACTTACACCTCAAAAAGTCTGCTCTTCAAGCAATCGAAAACTTCTCCTGGAAGATCGACAGCAAGAACCTCATACTTCCAAATTATAAATGACCTAATTGCTGCACAGAGTAAAGGGTCTCGAATCTTCTTTCTATGGATACCTTCACACACAAATATAACCCATCATAATGAGACAGACATTGCAGCCAAATTAGCGTGTAACATAGATGAAGTTGAATTAGATCTAGGTATCCCTATCTCTGCTGTCAAAACTGTATTGGTCCAAACACTCAGGTCTGATAGGAGAGAAGTTACTGACTCCCAACGACCTGAAAGCACCAGTACAAAAGCTGTGATTTGTTCAGATCTGAAACCTAGGTTTATGGGCAGCACAAAACGTCCACCAGACTGTGCGACACAGTGGTTGCCAGGATCAGGTTGGGTTACCGTTACCTGTGGCAGGTGGCTTCCGTTATCTGTGGCAGGTGGCTTCCGTTACCTGTGGCAGGTGGCTACCGTTACCCGTGGCAGGTGGCTTCCGTTACCTGTGGCAGGTGGCTACCGTTACCTGTGGCAGGTGGCTACCGTTACCTGTGGCAGGTGGCTACCGTTACCTGTGGCAGATGGCTATACCGTTACCTGTGGCAGGTGGCTACAGGTGGCGGATCTCCCAATCCTGAACACTCCAGGTGCAAACTCTGTGAGCAGGAACTGCGGCATGATCTCCCACACTACATCACCGAATGCCCAGGTATTAGACCATTCAGACCCGTTGGTATGAGGTACCTGGAGCTTTGCAATTACTTTATTCACTCTCGTGTTCTTGAATATATCCTCATAGTGTACCCAAAATTTGCCAGTGCAGACTGCTGAACATATGGCGCTGAACGACCAACCATCCTGCGAGATGGATACTTTAGCATCACGTAGCTAGTTCTTGACACACACTGTACTCCCCTTCATATAGTCTAGGGCAGCTAGTTCTTGACACACACTGTACTCCCCTTCATATAGTCTAGGGCAGCTAGTTCTTGACACACACTGTACTCCCCTTCATATAGTCTAGGGCAGCTAGTTCTTGACACACACTGTACTCCCCTTCATATAGTCTAGGGCAGCTAGTTCTTGACACACACTGTACTCCCCTTCATATAGTCTAGGGCAGCTAGTTCTTGACACACACTGTACTCCCCTTCATATAGTCTAGGGCAGCTAGTTCTTGACACACACTGTACTCCCCTTCATATAGTCTAGGGCAGCTAGTTCTTGACACACACTGTACTCCCCTTCATATAGTCTAGGGCAGCTAGTTCTTGACACACACAGTACTCCCCTTCATATAGTCTAGGGCAGCTAGTTCTTGACACACACTGTACTCCCCTTCATATAGTCTAGGGCAGCTAGTTCTTGACACACACTGTACTCCCCCTTCATATAGTCTAGGGCAGCTGCACAAATGCATATATATACCTAAATGTGTTAATAAAAAAATAAAAAATAAAATAAAAATCCTCCGCTTATTCGCGTAAATTCTTCATAATACATTTTCTGAGAGGAGAAGTGAGAGAAGAACTAAGGGGATGAAGGAGAGGTGATGAAGTTGGAGGAAAGGGAAGGAAGGAAGGAAAGGAGGGACGAAGAGGGGTCAAGGTAAACAAATAAGGGTGGAATAAGGGGTGGGAGTAGAGAGACTACCCCGGGCACCACCGGGTAACACCCCTTCCCTCCCCCCTAGAACACCATATTAGTCCTAGCTCAACTTGGACAAGTTAGGCTTCCTTCTTTAGCTAATTTTCCATTTTCTATGTTTGCCATTTGGGTATACTAAATAATAGAAAACTTGAACATTTCAGGGTTTACCAGTCCATTTGTGTTCGTGTGAGCACCGTCCACATCGGAGGGTGGACTGATATATTAACACAAACCACGTCTCCACGACCGACTTACTACACAGCTTATGGAGATTCTTATTATGCTTGAGCAGGTCCACCAGGCTGTCGAACCCCGCGGCGCCGTGGACCAGTCCCGTCAGCTGCAGCTCCGACAGGTTGGGCGCACAGCGGCTCAGTCTCTTGCACAGGACCGACAGGTCGTCGTCCAGCATCTCCATGTCCAGCCGCAGGATCTCCAGCCCCTCCATGGCCTTCTGCAGGAGACAGGAGGGTGAGGGAGGTGCTGCTCAAGCGCTCGAGGGGGGTGTTTGAGAGGCAGGGAATGACAGCAAGTTAGAGAGGGAGAATGAGTGTGAGGGAGTGGGCCTCGGGGGTTCTTGAGACTAGGGAAAAGAAGGTAATTCAATGGCTGAGATGAGTGATTTTATAGCAAGTGCTTACACCGTCCTAGATTGGTACATCTGGCAGCACAGTGTTTATATATCATCAAGTTATCTGAGAGAACACAAGAGTCAAGGTAGACATAGTTAAAGGTGGATTACATTGTTACCGAGATCCTCGGCGCCAGAGCCTTCGCTCACCGCTACATTTACCAACACAAAACTTCGATTCCCTTTGCAAATAAGAGAAAAGTGGCGCATCGATAAAGTTAATCAAACTCGACTAAATTTTAACTTTAAACCTATCGTAGCGTCATCTAATCTAACGCAACCTATCCTAATCTAATCTAATGTAGCCTTGTCTAACCTAACCTAACCTAACGTAGTCTAGCCTGTAGTCCTTGAGCAGGTCTACAGTTAAGGCTAATGCTGTAATTAACAGTAAGATTCCTCAAGGGGCTTGACAGCTGAGTGGACAGCGCTCAGGATTCGTAGTCCTGAGGTACCGGGTTCGATTCCCGGTGGAGGCGGAAACAAATGGGTAGTCTCTTTCACCCTGATGCCCCTTTTACCTAGCAGTAAATAGGTACCGGGGAGTTAAACAGAAGCTACAGGCTACTTCCCGGGGATATGTAAGGAGGCCTGGTCGAGGACCGGGCCGCGGGGACGCTAAGCCAAGAAATCATCTTAAGAAAACCTCAAGATAAGAAGCACTTACGCAACCACTAACGAAACCTGTACATCTTTCCTCAATCATGGCGGCTTTGTTTACATTTGTTTCACAAGTTATGAACTGCAAAACACTATACGAGGTTGTTTATAACATTATAACTTTGGGTTGTGAAGTTCCACGCTCATCAACTGTTTATTAAATGTAAACAAAGCCGTTATGATGTACAGGTTTCGTAAATGGTTGATGAACGCTGGCCCAGAGGGTGATGACCCTATCGTACAGACCCAAGGTGGTCAAGGATACCAAATATCCATTAAACCCGAGACTCGTACAAACCACTCTGGAATATTTACAAATTATTCGTAAGGCCAAGCAAAGAAATCCGTGTCCAAGGATATCCGTGTCCAAGGATATCCATGTCCTACACACTACACCAGACCAGCTTAATAAAGATAGCAACACACACTCAACAGATATGCAATATAGTCTTGGATCGAGAATGTCAATGCAAATAGTCTGAGGAAACAGGTTTTGCGAGACTTGCAGGGTCATCTTGACGGACACAAGCGCTCTGGGAGACACCAAAGAAAATGGTTAAGCAATGGGAGACTCTCTCATCTAGACCTGCTGCCACTGTGTGTGTGTGGACAGTCACGTGGGCTCTGTTATGCTAGTTTGGGTGGATGATGACTGCTAGATGCTTGTGTGTGTGTGTGTGTGTGTGTGTGTGTGTGTTGATGACCAAACTACACACCAGAGAATGGCGAAACGACGTTGTTTCGGTCCGTCCTGGACCGCAGTCGACTTGATAATGGTCCAAAACGGACCGAAACGTCGTCGTCTGTTCATCCTCTACTGTGTGATGTTGGTCATTACTTCAGCCATGTTCTTGCGACATCGTCTGTGAATGTGTGTGTTCCTTTTGTGTAAAGATATATATGAAATACTTTGTGTAGTTATTATGTATCCCCGCAGTGACCTTATGTATCCCCCAGTGACCTTATGTATCCCCCCAGTGACCTTTTGTATCCCCCAGTGACCTTATGTATCCCCCCCAGTGACCTTATGTATCCCCCCAGTGACCTTATGTATCCCCAGTGACCTTATGTATCCCCCAGTGACCTTATGTATCCCCCCAGTGACCTTATGTATCCCAGCAGTGACCTTATGTATCCCCTCAGTGACCTTACGTATCCCCCCAGTGACCTTATGTATCCCCCAGTGACCTTATGTATCCCCCCAGTGACCTTATGTATCCCCCCAGTGACCTTATGTATCCCCAGTGACCTTATGTATCCCCCCAGTGACCTTATGTATCCCCCCAGTGACCTTATGTATCCCCCAGTGACCTTATGTATCCCCCAGTGACCTTATGTATCCCCCCAGTGACCTTATGTATCCCCCAGTGACCTTATGTATCCCCCCAGTGACCTTATGTATCCCCCCAGTGACCTTATGTATCCCCCAGTGACCTTATGTATCCCCCAGTGACCTTATGTATCCCCCAGTGACCTTATGTATCCCCCAGTGACCTTATGTATCCCCAGTGACCTTATGTATCCCCCCAGTGACCTTATGTATCCCCCCAGTGACCTTATGTATCCCCCAGTGACCTTATATATCCCCCCAGTGACCTTATGTATCCCCCCAGTGACCTTATGTATCCCCCCAGTGACCTTATGTATCCCCAGTGACCTTATGTATCCCCGCAGTGACCTTATGTATCCCCCCAGTGACCTTATGTATCCCCCCAGTGACCTTATGTATCCCCAGTGACCTTATGTATCCCCCCAGTGACCTTATGTATCCCCCCAGTGACCTTATGTCCCCCCAGTGACCTTATGTATCCCCCCAGTGACCTTATGTATCCCCCAGTGACCTTATGTATCCCCCCAGTGACCTTATGTATCCCCCAGTGACCTTATGTATCCCCCCAGTGACCTTATGTATCCCCCCAGTGACCTTATGTATCCCCCAGTGACCTTGGTGGTTATGGACACAGGTCTTCCACCTACACACAATGGCGGGGGAGGCGGCGTGACCTCCAGGACTCGGTCATACACAAACACACGTTCCTCTTACCTTCTCCATGTGGCATGTCGCACCTTCAATGGCCTTCCTAAGGTGGGTGGAAACCTTCATCTTGAGTTCCTTGATCTCGAGCTCGCGGAGGTTCTCCTTAACCAGTATACCTTGCAGGTGGGAGAAAAAGAGTTCGATCTTCTCGTCGGAGAACGGCTCTCCATCTTGCGTGGCTCTTATGCTGATTTTAGTGATGCTTGTGTTGGACCTGAGGGCGCTGAAGAAGGCGGCGTAGAGCTGGGGCGTCGCCTCGTTGAAGGAGCTCTCCTGGTCAGGGTTCGTGCTCTTAATCCGCCACACAATCTCCAACGAATTGAGTTTCTTGAAATTTTGAGCGAGGATGGAGCTCCAGCCCTCGAAGTCGACTTCGCTGGTGTAGACGATGGCATTGCGGCGGTCCAGAAGCTTGGCCACGGCGCGACAGTTTTCTCTGGTGGGTTCCGTCTCCCGCAGTAGCATCAGTAGCTCCTGGTCCTTCATCTGCAGGAACACCTGGTGCTTCCTGCCGTCAAGGGCCAGGTGGGCCTTCTTGCCCAGGATGCCCACCACGAACTTGAGGACGTGCTCGTGGCGGTACACCTTGGAGAACTCTCGACACTCGCGACAGTCACTCCTGTCCCTCTCTATGTGGCTGGCCATGTACAGACCCGCCAGGTACTCCAGGAAGATCTTGTGAACCGGTTTGTAGAACTTTTTGTAACCGAGAACGTCATTTTCACTATCGTTAGACAAGAATCCTAAATGTAATAATTTTGAGTAGTTCTCAATGCCCTTAATCTCTTTCTCGCTAAAGCGCGTCTTTTCCGTCTTTAACGCTTGCAAACACAGCTTCCCGAAGCTGAGAAACAGTTCCTCATACTCGGCGGGGAAGTCTTCAGTGTTCTCATCCACATTTCCACCTTTCTTATTCCACTTGATGAGACACAACATAATTTTGAACATCATATCCGTGAGCTTCTCCGGGAGCTTGGCCACCCCGTCTGAGCCATACAACATACACAACAGCACGCAAAACAGCGGACGCTTGGCCAGCTTCCTGTACTTATAGTCCTTCTCTATAATCCTCTTGAGGTTCCGGCCACACTCCTCCTCGTTCACCAGCTTGAAGTACTTAGTCACGAACTCAAACATCTGCGCCTCGCTGAAGCCCTTAACGATGGTCCTCTGGGCAATGGTCTTCAGGACGTCTGGACGCGCCGTCACCACCACCTTGCTGTTCTGGAAGTCGCGGTTACTCAACAGCTTCTGGACCTCTCCGGCGTCCGCTCTCTCCAGCTCGTCGTAGCCGTCGAGGATGAAGAGGACCTGCTCCTCGTGCTTCTTGCAGTACTCCCACACCTGCTTCAGCCTGTAACGTCAACACCTTGAGAATTAACGACACAGCAGAAGACCTATGACCCCATGTGAGGCAGGTCCTATAGCCCCATGTGAGGCAGGTCCTATAGCCCCATATAAAGCAGGTCCTATAGCCCCAAATAAAGCAGGTCCTATAGCCCCAAATAAACCAGGTCCTATAGCCCCATGTGAGGCAGGTCCTATAGCCCCATGTGAGGCAGGTCCTATAGCCCCATGTGAGGCAGGTCCTATAGCCCCATGTGAGGCAGGTCCTATAGCCCCATGTGAGGCAGGTCCTATAGCCCCATGTGAGGCAGGTCCTATAGCCCAATGTGAGGCAGGTCCTATAGCCCCATGTGAGGCAGGTCCTATAGCCCCATGTGAGGCAGGTCCTATAGCCCCATGTGAGGCAGGTCCTATAGCCCCATGTGAGGCAGGTCCTATAGCCCCATGTGAGACAGGTCCTATAGCCCCATGTGAGACAGGTCCTATAGCCCCATGTGGGGCAGGTCCTATAGCCCCATGTGAGGCAGGTCCTATAGCCCCATATAAAGCAGGTCCTATAGCCCCATGTGAGGCAGGTCCTATAGCCCCATGTGAGGCAGGTCCTATAGCCCCATGTGAGGCAGATCCTATAGCCCCATGTGAGGCAGGTCCTATAGCCCCATGTGAGGCAGGTCCTATAGCCCCATGTGAGGCAGGTCCTATAGCCCCATGTGAGGCAGGTCCTATAGCCCCATGTGAGACAGCTCCTATTTACATTCGCTGAAAGTCAGGGCCTCAGGTAAATCATACAGTAATTTACATAAAGTAACATTGAACACCCACACTCAAATTTCCATTTGCACAGTCATTAATGGTCCTAAAAATTTCATATATGAACATTAGGCGATAGTTTAAGATACTTTAAGATAAACTAAGATATATTGTCATACACTTTGGTCATTACTGTAGCATGCAGGCACCGCGAAGTATTGAAGCTACTCAGTGTTCAACTTTTATTTTGGTTCATATTGTAAGACAAAGATAGTTAGAAGAAGGAACAACTATTGGTATTGAATGTGTGGGCGTTCAATGTGTGGGCGTTCAGTGTGTGGGCGTTCAATGTGTGGGCGTTCAGTGTGTGGGCGTTCAATGTGTGGGCGTTCAATGTGTGGGCGTTCAATGTGTGGGCGTTCAATGTGTGGGCGTTCAATGTGTGGGCGTTCAATGTGTGGGCGTTCAATGTGTGGGCGTTCAATGTGTGGGCGTTCAATGTGTGGGCGTTCAATGTGTGGGCGTTCAATGTGTGGGCGTTCAATGTGTGGGCGTTCAGTGTGTGGGCGTTCAATGTGTGGGCGTTCAATGTGTGGGCGTTCAATGTGTGGGCGTTCAATGTGTGGGCGTTCAATGTGTGGGCAATGTGTGGCGTTCAATGTGTGGGCGTTCAATGTGTGGGCGTTCAGTGTGTGGGCGTTCAATGTGTGGGCGTTCAATGTGTGGGCGTTCAATGTGTGGGCGTTCAGTGTGTGTGGGCGTTCAATGTGTGGGCGTTCAATGTGTGGGCGTTCAATGTGTGGGCGTTCAATGTGTGGGCGTTCAATGTGTGGGCGTTCAATGTGTGGGCGTTCAATGTGTGGGCGTTCAATGTGTGGGCGTTCAATGTGCGGGCGTTCAATGTGTGGGCGTTCAATGTGTGGGCGTTCAATGTGTGGGCGTTCAGTGTGTGGGCGTTCAGTGTGTGGGCGTTCAATGTGTGGGCGTTCAATGTGTGGGCGTTCAATGTGTGGGCGTTCAGTGTGTGGGCGTTCAATGTGTGGGTGTTCAGTGTGTGGGCGTTCAATGTGTGGGCGTTCAATGTGTGGGCGTTCAATGTGTGGGCGTTCAGTGTGTGGGCGTTCAGTGTGTGGGCGTTCAATGTGCACACGAACATGTGCACACTGTGGGCGTTCAGTGTGTGGGCGTTCAGTGTGTGGGCGTTCAATGTGTGGGCGTTCAGTGTGTGGGCGTTCAATGTGTGGGCGTTCAGTGTGTGGGCGTTCAATGTGTGGGCGTTCAGTGTGTGGGCGTTCAATGTGTGGGCGTTCAGTGTGTGGGCGTTCAATGTGTGGGCGTTCAATGTGTGGGCGTTAAATGTGTGGGCGTTCAGTGTGTGGGCGTTCAGTGTGTGGGCGTTCAGTGTGTGGGCGTTCACTATGCAAGAACAAAGTGTGTAAGAACTTAGTTCGTGTGCGTTCAGTGTGTGCAAGCGGTGATGTGTGCACACATCATCAGTGTGAAAATGATGTGTGGAGGAGTTCAGTGTGTGTACTCACCTAATTGTGCTTGCGGGGGTTTAGCTCTGGCTCTTTGGTCCCGCCTCTCAACTGTCAATCAATTGTTTTTACTACTACTATATATTTTTCCCCCCCACTCTCCACCCCCCCCACCCCCCAGGAAGCAGCCCGTGACAGCCGACTAACTCCCAGGTACCTATTTTACTGCTAGGTAACTGGGGCATCAGGGTGATAGAAACTCTGCCCATTGTTTCTCGCCGGCGCCCGGAATCGAACCCGGGACCACGGGATCACGTGTCCAGCGTGCTGTCCGCTCAGCCACCGGTCCCCTGAAATCCTGTGGATTTCACACACACACACAGGGGTCTCGTAGCTGAGAGGAAAGCGTGCGGGACTCGTAATCCTGTGGCCCGGGTTCGATTTCCGGCGCCGGCAGAGACAAATGAGCAGAGTTTCTTTCACCCTGATGCCCCTGTTACCTAGTAATAAATAAGTATCTGGGAATTAGACAGCTGCCACGGGCTGCTTCCTGGGGTGTGTGTGTGGGCGTGGAAACAAAAAATTAGTTAGTAATACTTGATTGACAGTTGAGAGGCGGGCCGAACACAACTAGGTGAACACACACACACACACACACACACACACACACACACACACACACACACACACACACACACACACACACACACACACACACACACACACACACACACACACACACACACACACACACACACACACACACACACACACACACACACACACACACACACACACACACACACACACACACACACACACACACACACACACACCACACACACACACACACACACACACACACACACACACACACACACACACACACACACACACACACACACACACACACACACACACACACACACACACACACACACACACACACACACACACACACACACACACACACACACACACACACACACACACACACACACACACACACACACACACACACACACACACACACACACACACACACACACACACACACACACACACACACACACACACACACACACACACACACACACACACACACACACACACACACACACACACACACACACACACACACACACACACACACACACACACACACACACACACACACACACACACACACACACACACACACACACACACACACACACACACACACACACACACACACCAATACAGACAGATAGCCACATATATATACACACAAAGAGGCAAAAAATAATAACAAAAAAACCCTCCAGAAGCAGAACTTACTTGTCCTCAAAGTGAGACGGGAGGAGCTCCTCCTTGACGTACTGCTCCAAGCTGCCCTTGAAGTCCCGCAGGAAGATCAGGAACACGAACTTGAACTCCTGAAGGCTGATCTTCTTGGCCCAGTCAATGGCCAGCTTGAGGGCCAGGAGCGTCTTCCCCATCCCCGGCTCCCCCTCCACCAGGAACCGCGTCTGAGGGACCAAAATTATGTGTAACAACCCGTCCTCTTAAAAAATAACGTCACTTTTGGCTGGTATGCGCGGCGCTGTGGCCAAATTTGGACGTAATTTGAAATGAAATCGACTCACAAAAGTGACGTTCTGTTCCGTTTTCTATTTGAGTCGTCCGGCGTACGCGCAGAGGTTAGAAGAGGAAACTTTAAATCAACGTTTTTCATAACGTTTTGAAACTTAATGAGAATTTTCTGCCCACCTAACCTATCTGAGGACCCTTAACTTACTGTTGTTGAAAAAAAATATAGCAAATTTATTTTCATTTTTTTTTTCATTTTCATGTTACGTCCAAATTCGGCCATACGGGTAAACGGCCAAAAGCGACGTTCTTTTTAAGAGGACAGGTTGCTGGGTCACCGTCTTACACGACGAGGTCACGCACTTAGGGGTCAATAACCGTGACCTCTCTACTTGACCTTTGTGGGTCACGTAATACACTTGTTTCTTATGATTATCTTGAGAGGTTATCTTGAGATGATTTCGGGGCTTTAGTGTCCCCGCGGCCCGGTCCTCGACAAGGCCTCCACCCCCAGGAAGCAACCCGTGACAGCTGACTAACACCCAGGTACCTATTTTACTGCTAGGTAACAGGGGGCATAGGGTGAAAGAAACTCTGCCCATTGTTTCTCGCCGGCGCCCGGGATCGAACCCGGGACCACAGGATCACAAGCCCAGCGTGCTGTCCGCTCGGCCGACCGGCTCCCTCTAAGATTGGCTTAAGTCATCAAGGGCTTCAGTATTCCCTAACGAAACCAGTACATCTTTGCTAAATCATGACGGCTTAGCTTTGCCTGAATTTACCTGAAGGGGGGCACTCATACCAGTGGCTTCGACGAGCATAGGAAAGCCGGCGGCTTGTCGAACGTTCCCCTTAGATTGTATTTATTAATGTCAATGTGTCCTAGAGCGTTACCAGGTAGTTCATAACAGTAACAACCTTGTGGGTTGTTAACTGTCCAAGTTCCTAAACCGTTTAATAACTACAGACTTGGTCGCCATTATTGAGGAAAGATGTACAGGTTTCGGACATGCAAACGCTTAGCCAGTCGTGCTGGGCCGCTACTCTCAAGGGGTCACTATTGTATAGCCATCTCTGTCTTCATACGTACAATAATGAACTGTTCGCAGCCTCAGAATTTCACGTTTTGTGTTACTGAATGACCCCTAAATTACCTTTGATTAAATAAGAAATGTAATTATTGAACCTAATCTAACCTAACCTAGCCTAACCTAGCCTAGCCTAGCCTAACCTAGCCTAACCTAACCTAGCCTAGCCTAACCTAACCTAGCCTAGCCTAACCTAGCCTAACCTAACCCAGCCTATCCTAACCTAACCTAGCCTAACCTAGCCTAGCCTAGCCTAACCTAGCCTAACCTAGCCTAACCTAACCTAGCCTAGCCTAACCTAACCTAGCCTAGCCTAACCTAGCCTAACCTAACCCAGCCTATCCTAACCTAACCGAGCCTAACCTAACCTAGCCTAGCCTAACCTAACCTAACCTAGCCTAGCCTAACCTAGCCTAACCTAACCTAACCTAGCCTAGCCTAACCTAACCTAGCCTAACCTAGCCTAACTTAACCCAGCCTTAGCTAACCTAACCTAACCTAGCCTAACCTAACCTAGCCTAACCTAACCTAGCCTAGCCTAACCTAGCCTAACCTAACCTAACCCAACCTAACCTAACCTAGCCTAACCTAGCCTAACCTAACCTAACCTAGCCTAACCTAGCCTAACCTAACCTAACCTAGCCTAGCCTAACCTAGCCTAACCTAGCCTAACCTAACCTAACCTAGCCTAGCCTAACCTAACCTAGCCTAACCTAACCTAGAATAACCTAACCTAACCTAGCCTAACCTAACCTAACCTAGCCTAACCTAACCTAACCTAGCCTAACCTAACCTAGCCTAACCTAACCTAGCCTAACCTAACCTAACCTAGCCTAACCTAACCTAGCCTAACACTAACCTAGAATAACCTAACCTAGCCTAACCTAACCTAGCCTAACCTAGCCTAGCCTAACCTAGCTTAACCTAACCTAGCCTAACCTAACCTAGAATAACCTAACCTAGCCTAACCTAACCTAACCTAGCCTAACCTAACTTAACCTAACCTAGCCTAACCTAACCTAGCCTAACCTAACCTAGCCTAGCCTAACCTAACCTAGAATAACCTAACCTAGCCTAACCTAACCTAACCTAGCCTAACCTAGCCTAACCTAACCTAACTTAGCCTAACCTAACCTAACCTAGCCTAACCTAGCCTAACCTAACCTAACTTAGCCTAACCTAACCTAACCTAGCCTAACCTAGCCTAACCTAGCCTAACCTAGCCTAACCTAACCTAACCTAGCCTAACCTAACCTAACCTAACCTAACTTAGCCTAACCTAACCTAACCTAGCCTAAACTAACCTAACCTAACCTAACCTAACCTAACTTAGCCTAACCTAACCTAACCTAGCCTAAACTAACCTAACCTAACCTAGCCTAACCTAACCTAACCTATAAATTTACTATCTACTGTTGTGTTGAAATTTCTGCTGCTTCATTCAACATGTAATTATTGTCATTCTTTTTAATTGTTTCTACTTCAGTTAGTTTCAAGCCTTAGTTCTTAGGTTTATTTTTTACACATTATTAGCTCTTGGGCCCCGCCTTTTAGATTTAGAGTAATATTTACTCTAGAGTATTTAGAGTATTTTAGATTTTAGATGAGTATGAGTATTTTAGAATCTTTTAGATTCCTTTCTAGCCAATCTATTTTTGCGATATTCTATCTACTACATATATTTTTCACACATACACATACACACACACACACACACACATCCTTAGGGGGCCTCGTAGCCTGGTGGATAGCGCGCAGGACTCGTAATTCTGTGGCGCGGGTTCGATTCCCGCACGAGGCAGAAACAAATGGGCAAAGTTTCTTTCACCCTAAGTGCCCCTGTTACCTAGCAGTAAATAGGTACCTGGGAGTTAGTCAGCTGTCACGGGCTGCTTCCTGGGGTGTGTGTGTGGTGTGGAAAAAAAAAAAGTAGTAAACAGTTGATTGACAGTTGAGAGGCGGGCCGAAAGAGCAAAGCTCAACCCCCGCAAAAACACAACTAGTAAACACACACACACACAGACACACACACACACACACACAGGAAGCAGCCCATAGCAGCTTTAACTCCCAGGTACCTAATTTTTTGCTAGGTGAACAGTGCATCAGGGTGAAAGAAACTGTGCCCATTTGTTTTCTGCCTGGGCCGGGAATCGAATCCAGGCCATTAAGACTACGACCCCTAAGCCCTGTTCACTCGGCCGCGAGACTCTCACAAGCTGTGTGAGTGTGAGTGTGTGTGTGTGTGTGTGTGTGTGTGTGTGTGAGTGTGAGTGTGTGTGTGTGTGTGTGTGTGTGTGTGTGTGTGTGTGTGTGTGTGTGTGTGTGTGTGTGTGTGTGTGTGTGTGTGTGTGTGTGTGCGCGCGTGTGTGAGTGTGAGTATGAGTATGAGTGTAAGTGTAAGTGTGAGTATGTGCCTGGCAGCCTCACCTCCTCCTCATGAACCAAGTCCCTCACGAGGTTGACACACTGACTGGTCTGTCGTCCCTGCTTGTCGACGGCCAGGATGCGTGACTCGGTGTAGAACTCCGTCATGGGGATGACCTGATGACCCTTGAGCCAGGGCAGGAACGACGTCTTCGTCTGACGGATGTAGACCGTCGACAGCTTGTCACGCACCTCCGCCAGCAGCGACTCCAGCTTGTCTTGACTCTCATGACTGGTCGTGGTTGGGACGGTGCTAGCCAGGTGCGGCGGGGAGGTGGCGACAAGCGGGTGCTGTCAGGGAGTAGTAGTGAGAGCAATTAGAAACGACATGAAAAGTTTTTGACACGGTAACAATGGCGTAACAATCGCCTTGAACAGCCTGATTAGTATTTAAGGGTCGTAATAGACCGCTCACCACTACAGTGCATCATGAGGGAAGGGAAGGGAACTATCAGGGATAAAGTGCCAAGCCATCACGACTATATAGCACTAGGCAGGGGGTCAGGATAAGGATTTGGGATGGGACGGGGGGAAAGGAATGGTACCCAACCACTTATGGACGGTCGGGGATTGAACGCCGACCTGCATGAAGCGAGACCGTCGCTCTACCGTCCACCCAAAGTGGTTGGACGCATCATGGGAGATGCGCATCATCACGCATCATCATCATCTTTGGTGTAGCCAGAGCATGCAGGAGATAATGAGGATATAATGAGTACTGGATGACAACAAAGTGATGAACCTGACCTCTTTGCAGCTGGGATTATTGTATATAATTTGAGTGCCGATGACGACGCTGCCGTCGCCGGCGATAGTGAAGGTGCCGAGGGGCGTCTGTGGGGTGGGCGGGGGGTTGAGGAGGGGTTGTTGGGTCAGCACCCGCACCCCAGGCCGCCCCCCCACCACCGGGGGCGTCAGGGTCTTCTCCGGCGCTGACTGTGTCTGCAGCAGCGGGCTGTGTTGACGGTGGTCCGCCTGCAACTGTTGCACGGCCGGGGCCACCAGGTTGACCTTGAGCGTCCCGGGGCCTTTCTTAGGGGACTTTTCCACCCACAGTTGGTCCAAGGCGTCGCCTGGCGTCGGCGTCACGTCCACACCGGGTATCGGACTTGGCATCGGGCCGTAAACCGGTCCGATGTGCACTTGGGAACTTTCTTTAAGGTTAAATGTGGCGCCATGCAGGTTGTATTGACTGTGATCGAGGCATTCCAGCTCGTCCGTGTAATATTCCTCCTGGAACAGTTGTGTGTCGGAGAGGCGGGTGTCGTCACCCCAGGTCGACGCCGGGAGCAAGCAGGGATCCTCCAGGAGGCTCCTCTGATCCTCCAGGCGGCTCCTCTGATCCTCCAGGCGGCTCCTCTGATCCTCCAGGGGGCTCCTCTGATCCTCCAGGCGGCTCCTCTGATCCTCCAGGAGGCTCCTCTGATCCTCCAGGCGGCTCGTCTGATCCTCCAGGCGGCTCCTCTGATCCTCCAGGGGGCTCCTCTGATCCTCCAGGCGGCTCGTCTGATCCTCCAGGCGGCTCCTCTGGTGTTCAGGGAGGGAAACCTCGCTATCAGAGGCCTCGCTCGTCGAGCTCTCAAAGGAGGAAGTTACGAGAGTCTCTTCACTGGTTACACTGACGGAGGCGCCGCCGGCACCCGCCTCCAGCCCTTCCACTACCCTTCCCTCCCGCGCCCCGGCCTCACCCTCCCATACCGTCCCTTCAACGCTGGAAGACATTGAGGGAAAACTGGCGCCGCTGCTGGGGTAACTCTGGTATTTTTCTCCCGCCTGCAGCACTGGTAGGCGCCGCGCCGACCCGTCGCCGTGATAATCTTCCACACCATTGGTGCAGAAATTCTCCGTCACGAAATTAAATCCTGTCACCCCATTACAGGTGACACCGACACCACCGTTGCCCCACCTGAGGTCCCTGTCGGCGTGGCAGCCGAGGGGGTTCTGGGCACGTCCTGACGTAGGGGCACTACACCTGTCATACCCGGGGCAGGTGTGGAGTCTGGGTATGGCGGGGCAGCCGTTCATCTGCTGGGGAGGCTTCAGGTGTGGCGAGGGGCCCCCAGCGGCGGTAACTTCCACTGTCTCTCCGGGCATCATGCTCTCCTGCGGGGGACATACAACACATTAGCATCCTTATGTGTGTGTTTGTCAGCTGTGGCTGCGTGGGGGCGTCTGTGTGTCCCGTGTGTGTTTGTGAAGCATGTGTGTGTGTGTGCACCAGAGTACACTGGTACACTCTCACATCTCCTCACTAACACCATCTAACAATTCCAAAGTTCACAGAAGTAATTAATTCCTCAATCACAAGGCGTTAATAGTTCTAACCTGACGTAGGCCAGAGGTCGTTCCTATCAACACCAGACGCTATACCTTGACGTCCCCTGGAGGTCGTACACAGCTTCAGGAGGCGTCTACCTTGACGTCCCCTGGAGGTCGTACGTCCCTTCAGGAGGCGTCTACCTTGACGTCCCCTGGAGGTCGTACGTCCCTTCAGGAGGCGTCTACCTTGACGTCCCCTGGAGGTCGTACGTTCAGGAGGCGTCTACCTTGACGTCCCCTGGAGGTCGTACGTCCCTTCAGGAGGCGTCTACCTGACGTCCCCTGGAGGTCGTACGTCCCTTCAGGAGGCGTCTACCTTGACGTCCCCTGGAGGTCGTACACAGCTTCAGGAGGCGTCTACCTTGACGTCCCCTGGAGGTGGTACGTCCCTTCAGGAGGCGTCTACCTTGACGTCCCCTGGAGGTCGTACACAGCTTCAGGAGGCGTGTCACGTGCGTGGGGTGACGCAAGATTGTAGCATCTTACTCAAGGCCACGAGCTCTGAGCTCTCTGTGTGTGTGTGTGTGTGTGTGTGTGTGTGTGTGTGTGTGTGTGTGTGTGTGTGTGTGTGTGTGTGTGTGTGTGTGTGTGTGTGTGTGTGTGTGTGTGTGTACTCACCTAATTGCCTAATTGCCTAATTGCCTAATTGCCTAATTGCCTGAGCTGTGTGTGTGTGTGTGTGTGTGTGTGTGTGTGTGTGTGTGTGTGTGTGTGTGTGTGTGTGTGTGTGTGTGTGTGTGTATACCGTGTCTGGACCTTGCGTCAACCAGCCCCATACCATAACACACTGGTCTATCACCCTAACACACACAATTTTCTTGGATTGTCGAAAAGCCTTTGACACAGTACCGCATAAGAGGCTGGTACATAAGCTGGAGAGACAGGCAGGTGTAGCTGGTAAGGTGCTCCAGTGGATAAGGGAGTACCTAAGCAATAGGAAGCAGAGAGTTACGGTGAGGGGTGAGACCTCCGATTGGCGTGAAGTCACCAGTGGAGTCCCACAGGGCTCTGTACTCGGTCCTATCTTGTTTCTGATATATGTAAATGATCTCCCGGAGGGTAAAGATTCATTTTTCTCAATGTTTGCGGACGATGCCAAAATTATGAGAAGGATTAAGACAGAGGAGAACTGCTTGAGGCTTCAAGAAGACCTAGACAAGCTAAAGGAATGGTCAAACAAATGGTTGTTAGAGTTTAACCCAAGCAAATGTAATGTAATAAAGATAGGTGTAGGGAGCAGGAGGCCAGATACAAGGTACCATCTGGGAGATGAAATCCTTCAAGAGTCAGAGAAAGAAAAAGACTTGGGAGTTGATATTACGCCAGACCTGTCTCCTGTAGCCCATATCAAGAGGATAACATCAGCAGCATATGCCAGGCTGGCCAACATACGAACGGCATTCAGAAACTTGTGTAAAGAATCATTCAGAACTTTGTATACCACATATGTCAGACCAATCCTGGAGTATGCGGCTCCAGCATGGAGTCCATATCTAGTCAAGCATAAGACTAAACTGGAAAAGGTTGAAAGGTTTGCCACCAGACTAGTACCCGAGCTGAGAGGTATGAGCTACGAGGAGAGACTACGGGAATTAAACCTCACTTCGCTGGAAGACAGAAGAGTTAGGGGGGACATGATCACCACATTCAAGATTCTCAAGGGAATTGATAGGGTAGATAAAGACAGTCTATTTAACACACGGGGCACACGCACAAGGGGACACAGGTGGAAACTGAGTGCCCAAATGAGCCACAGAGATATTAGAAAGAACTTTTTTAGTGTCAGAGTGGTTGACAAATGGAATGCATTAGGAAGTGATGTGGTGGAGGCTGACTCCATACACAGTTTCAAGTGTAGATATGATAGAGCCCAATAGGCTTAGGAACCTGTACACCTGTTGATTGACGGTTGAGAGGCGGGACCAAAGAGCCAGAGCTCAACCCCCGCAAGCACAACTAGGTGAGTACACAGATCTATCACCCTAACACACACACTGATCTATCATCCTAATACACACACTGGTCTATCACCCTAACACACACACTGATCTATCACCCTAACACACACACTGATCTATCACCCTAACACACACACTAATCTATCACCCTAACACACATACACTGGACTATCACCCTAACACACACACTGGTCTATCACCCTAACACACATACACTGATCTATCACCCTAACACACACACTGGACTATCACCCTAACACACACACACTGGTCTATCACCCTAACACACACACTGGTCTATCACCCTATCACCCTAACACACATACACTGGTTTATCTAACACACACACACTGGACTACCCTAACACACACACTGATCTATCACCCTAACACACACACTGATCTATCACCCTAACACACACACTGATCTATCACCCTAACACACACACTGGTCTATCACCCTAACACACACACACTGGTCTATCACCCCCTAACACACACACTGATCTATCACCCTAACACACACACTACACTGGTCACCCTATCACCCTAACACACACACTGATCTATCACCCTAACACACACACTGGATCTATCACCCTAACACACACACTGATCTATCACTGGTCTATCACCCTAACACCCTAACACCCTACACACACACCCTGGACTACCCTAACACACCACTATCACCCTACACACACACTGGTCTATCTATCACACCTAACACACACACACTGGTCTATCACCCTAACACACACACTGATCTATCACCCTAACACACACACTGGTCTATCACCCTAACACACACACACTGGTCTATCACCCTAACACACACACTGATCTATCACCCTAACACACACACTGATCTATCACCCTAACACACACACTGATCTATCACCCTAACACACACACTGATCTATCACCCTAACACACACACTGGTCTATCACTGACACACACACTCTATCACCCTAACACACACACTGGTCTATCACCCTAACACACACACTGGTCTATCACCCTAACACACACACTGGTCTATCACCCTAACACACACACTGGTCTATCACCCTAACACACACACTGATCTATCACCCTAACACACACACTGGTCTATCACCCTAACACACACACTGGTCTATCACCCTAACACACACACACTGGTCTATCACCCTAACACACACACTGATCTATCACCCTAACACACACACTGATCTATCACCCTAACACACACACTGGTCTATCACCCTAACACACACACACTGGTCTATCACCCTAACACACACACTGATCTATCACCCTAACACACACACTGATCTATCACCCTAACACACACACTGGTCTATCACCCTAACACACACACTGGTCTATCACCCTAACACACACACTGGTCTATCACCCTAACACACACACTGATCTATCACCCTAACACACACACTGATCTATCACCCTAACACACACACTGATCTATCACCCTAACACACACACTGGTCTATCTCCCTAACACACACACTGGTCTATCACCCTAACACACACACTGATCTATCACCCTAACACACACACTGATCTATCACCCTAACACACACACTGGTCTATCACCCTAACACACACACTGATCATCACCCTAACCACACATGATCTATCACCCACACACACTGATCTATCACCCTAACACACACACTGGAGCCCCACCCTAACACACACACTGGTCTATCACCCTAACACACACACACTGATCTATCACCCTAACACACACACTGGTCTATCACCCTAACACACACACTGATCTATCACCCTAACACACACACTGATCTATCACCCTAACACACACACTGATCTATCACCCTAACACACACACTGGTCTATCACCCTAACACACACACTGGTCTATCACCCTAACACACACACTGGTCTATCACCCTAACACACACACACTGGTCTATCACCCTAACACACACACACAGGTGGAAACTCTATCACCCTAACACACACACTGATCTATCACCCTAACACACACATCTATCGGGACCCCAAAGCTCACCCCCGCAAGCACAAATCACACACCTAACACACACACACACACACAGTCTATCACCCTAACACACACACACACACACACACACACACACACACACACACACACACACACACACACACAAAAAAACACACACACACACACACACACACACACACACACACACACACACACACACACACACACACACACACACACACACACACACACACACACACACACACACACACACACACACACACACACACACACACACACACACACACCATACAACACACACACACACACACACACACACACACACACACACACACACACACACACACACACATACAACACACACACACACACACACACACACACACACACACACACACACACACACACACACACACACACACACACACACACACACACAAATATTAGGTATCACAAAAAACAAACAAATCGAGAACGTTTAAAAATGGACGGGTTTTGTTTATGTGATGTAATTGCCATGGCGCCAATTAGACAGGTCTGTCAACCACTTCCTGCTGTCATTAAGGCTCGGACAGCAGGCTCAACAATGACGCTGGTTATCTAAGATCGAACTATAGCTCTTGAAACCTGACTTTTCGGCCAGCCGTCGTCTAATCAAGTGAAAGCTGTTATGATACCCGTCAATTTCGAGGACGCCGGTCGCCGGCGTCCTCGGTCGGCCGAGCGGACAGCACACTGGACTTGTGATCCTGTGGTCCTGGGTTCGATCCCAGGCGCCGGCGAGAAACAATGGGCAGAGTTTCTTTCACCCTATGCCCCTGTTACCTAGCAGTAAAATAGGTACCTGGGTGTTAGTCAGCTGTCACGGGCTGCTTCCTGGGGGTGGAGGCCTGGTCGAGGACCGGGCCGCGGGGACACTGAAAGCCTCGAAATCATCTCAAGATAACCTCAAGATAACGCCGCTGATGTTATCCAGTTGACGTGTACCGTCTGGTTCAGGGGTCTGTAGTGGAGGGAGGTTAGGTTCCTTACAGTGAGCGTAAGGCTCTTCAGGACTCACAAACACAGCCCTCCTTGGCATCACGTTGCACTTACTGGTGTTGAGTTCCAGTAGCCATTTCCCGGAGCGTCTCTGAAGCATGGCTAGGAGTTCACAATGTGTTGAAAGGCATATTGGACATGTGGAACGGGGAGAGGTTGACGGGAAAGGACAGGTAGGGATGGAGAAAAGGGCGGAAGGGATTGATTGATTGATTGATAAAGATTAAGCCACCTAAAAGGTGGCACGGGCATGAATAGCCTGTAAGTGGCGGCCCTTTTGAGCCATTACCAGTATCAAGAGCTGATACTGGAGATCTATGGAGGTGCGACTGCACCCTGCGTGACGGGAGATGTCTCCCGTGGCGGAAGGGATAGGTTGATCGTCTTATCTATGAGAAGGCAGAGCTTGAGGGAAAGAGAGGTGGGGGAGGGGGGTTGAGAGGAAACAGAGAGGGTGAGGGGGAAGGGAAAGATTGAGAAGGGAAGGAAGAGGAGGAAAGAACAGGAAAGGAGAGTGGCTGGGAGGTGCATGCTCCTATACATATGTATATATATATACTCTACATGTGTGTGTGTGTTCTTGCATGCAATATCGTGGTGATGGTCGCTCAGGGAAGTGATTGCAAGTCCCCCCTCCCCTTCCCTCTCCCGTCCTCCCACCTGTCCTCCCTCCCATGCTGTGGGAGGGGTGTGGGAGACGGGGTACCATGTGTCAACACCCACACGATTTGACGATTGTATGGACAAAGGGATTTGGTAAGATGCAGAAACGACTAGGCCGGGAGGTGGAATATTGGAGAACTTTTAGTATTTTCTGTGATCACTGAAATCACTGACCTTCCTGCCATGTGTGGGAGAAAGGTCACGTTAACCGCCCACTGTGGGTCTACTATTGTGGGCGATAGAGTGTGGGGAGTGGGTCAGTTAGTAATACATAAACCATCCATCCATTTATGTTTATTTCTGTTGGGGGGGTTTGGAAGGAGACTGCGGAGGGCTGGGCACTTGCGATCAGTTCGTCTCCACCAGCAAACGGATGACGAAGACCTCCTCGAGCACATGGGAGTGGATGAACCAGTCCACAAGTACATGGGAGTGGATGAACCAGTCCACAAGCACATAGGAGTGGATGAACCAGTCCTCGAGCACATGGGAGTGGATGAACCAGTCCACAAGCCCATGGGAGTGGATGAACCAGTCCTCAAGCACATGGGAGTGGATGAACCAGTCCACAAGCCCATGGGAGTGGATGAACCAGTCCTCAAGCACATGGGAGTGGATGTACCAGTCCACAAGCACATGGGAGTGGATGAACCAGTCCTCAAGCACGTGGGAGTGGATGAACCAGTCCTCAAGCACATGGGAGTGGATGAACCAGTCCACAAGCACATGGGAGTGGATGAACCAGCTGACAAGCTGCAGGAACCTTGTCACCGGTAAGCCTACACCGCTTACTGCCTGGATAGTCAATAATCTACTATAATGTTGGATCCTGTATGCCCCAGTTCCTGCCAGAACCCATATCACCTGTCTCCAGCAGCCCCCCCCCCCTCAAAACTGGTATACTGTAGTCCCCAGCAACCAGCTCTGCAAACAATTTATATATTTTTTATTAAATTTTTTATAATATATCCCGCTTTCGTTAGAGATAATGTGGTCAGTTATATTAGGCGTGCTTGTGTGGGGTGTAGAGAGGGTGGCGGGGGTCACCACCTGCAAGACGGATCACAACACCTTCAGGCAGCTGGACCTGCGGTTAAACTGCTGGCAGCGGGCACAGCAGCTGGCCACCTGCTCTGATGAGCTCCTTGGGGACTACTGCATCTCCCTCTGTGTCCATCACTCCGTCAACACCACCTGCACCTGCGGCAGTGCTGGAGCAGACGCAGATACTCCATAGGTGTGCCTGCCACAAGGCCGCACCCCAGGGTGGATAGGTCTGAGGGGGGAGATCCTGAAGGAGCCTTGCCTTCCCTGCACCATGATCCTCAATGTAACCTGTCAGGAGTTAGTCGCCCCATCCCGCTGTATTGGTATGATTGACCCCAGCAGGGTGGGGGCAGCAGTCAGCGACCGCTGCCACACCTGGCCACAGTGTGGAGTAAGGCGTATGTTTCAGTCACGTGATGTGCATTACCCATGTCCAGATGCACGCCAAGGGCCATACTGTGCCTATGATCTCTTGACGGAGGCGCAGCTAGATCTCTCTTTCCGCAGCAAGGAGACACGACTGTTAACTGGTCTGAAGGTGCTGGCTGGAGAGCCGTAGGTGATGACGTTGGTGCTGGCGTGGGATCCCTGGCGTCACGACGAGTCCATGTCCACCACTAATGTCCGTGTCCTGGCCACGGCTCCTGGACCCAGCCTGACCGCAACACCCCCCACTGATGTCACAGCCAACCATACTCACATTTTTTGCACCTGGGGTGGGGTGGTGTTTTCGCAGTTGGGGCAGGAGGCAGTGCAGCTGCAGGTACAGTATGTCAATGACCACACCTATCGTACCTCTCCACAGGGAACCCGCATGCGACAGGATGTACAATTCCGTAACTTTACCTATAATGTGCAGGTGATGGAAAAGTGTCGCCTTGTGACAGTGGTGCAGCAGCTAGAGGGCGGAATCCTGGAGCACCTGAGATACTCCCGCCTGCGGTTGGAGGCCAAATTCCACAACACCAGTAGCCCCTGCAACTCTGTCCATCCCACCCTCTGCTGGACCCTCCAACCCCTCTCCCACAACACAAGCCTCGACCCCCTGCCTGATCCCTGTGAAGGAAAGGAGGAGGATGAGAGGTGCCTCTCAACGGATCTGGTGTTAGATCTGCCAGAGCGCAATCTCACCGCTGGGATTTATGCAGTCCGCCTCACAACCTCACTGCCCCCTACAGCTCTAACGTTACGGACCCTTCTGTGCACGGGAGGCATAGTGAGGGTCGTGGCACTCCCTCCCACCCTCACTATCACTGGGGGATCACCAAGGACCCAATTTTATGGGGTGCCACTATTACTGGAGGCTTAGTGGGTGGACCCTGAGGATCCACCAGGGGCCACCACCAGTCCCCCATTGATCACGTGGTCTTGCAAGACCACGTACATACCGGCAGGCGGTGTGTGTACTATGCCACTGGAACAAGACCCCCGTGTCTCCTTGAGGAATGGCGGCCGATACTTGATGGTGCTTAGGTCCGTTCTGTCCGTCGACCACAACTACACCTTCACAGCGCGAGTGGAAGGGCGGGTGGAGGCACACGTGGAGGTCAGGGTGGCGGGGGTCATCACCTGCAAGACAGATCACAACACCTTCCAGCAGCTGGACCTGCGGTTAAACTGCTGGCAGCGGGCACAGCAGCTGGCCACCTGCTCTGATGAGCTCCTTGGGGACTACTGCATCTCCCTCTGTGTCCATCACTCCGTTAACACCACCTGCACCTGCGACAGTGCTGGAGCAGCAGCAGATACTCCATAGGTGTGCCTGCCACAAGGCCGCACCCCAGGGTGGATAGGTCTGAGGGGGGAGATCCTGAAGGAGCCTTGCCTTCCCTGCACCATGATCCTCAATGAATCCTGTCAGGGGTTAGTCGCCCCATCCCGCTGTATTGGTATGATTGACCCCAGCAGGGTGGGGGCAGCAGTCAGCGACCACTGCCACACCTGGCCACAGTGTGGAGTAAGGCGTATGTTTCAGTCACGTGAAGTGCATTACCCATGTCCAGATGCACGCCAAGGGCCATACTGTGCCTATGATATCTTGACGGAGGCGCAGCTAGATCTCTCTTTCCGCAGCAAGGAGACACGACTGTTAACTGGTCTGAAGGTGCTGGCTGGAGAGCCGTAGGTGATGACGTTGGTGCTGGCGTGGGATCCCTGGCGTCACGACGAGTCCATGTCCACCACTAATGTCCGTGTCCTGGCCACGGCTCCTGGACCCAGCCTAACCGCAACACCCCCCACTGATGTCACAGCCAACCATACTCACATTTTTTGCACCTGGGGTGGGGTGGTGTTTTCGCAGTTGGGGCAGGAGGCAGTGCAGCTGCAGGTACAGTATGTCAATGACCACACCTATCGTACCTCTCCACAGGGAACCCGCATGCGACAGGATGTACAATTCCGTAACTTTACCTATAATGTGCAGGTGATGGAAAAGTGTCACCTTGTGACAGTGGTGCAGCAGCTAGAGGGCGGAATCCTGGAGCACCTGAGATACTCCCGCCTGCGGTTGGAGGCCAAATTCCACAACACCAGTAGCCCCTGCGACTCTGTCCATCCCACCCTCTGCTGGACCCTCCAACCCCTCTCCCACAACACAAGCCTCGACCCCCTGCCTGATCCCTGTGAAGGAAAGGAGGAGGATGAGAGGTGCCTCTCAACGGATCTGGTGTTAGATCTGCCAGAGCGCAATCTCACCGCTGGGATTTATGCAGTCCGCCTCACAACCTCACTGCCCCCTACAGCTCTAACGTTACGGACACTTCTGTGCACGGGAGGCATAGTGAGGGCCGTGGCACTGCCCCCTACCCTTACCATCACTGGGGGATCACCAAGGACCCAATTTTATGGGGTGCCACTATTACTGGAGGCTTAGTGGGTGAACCCTGAGGATCCACCAGGGGCCACCACCAGTCCCCCATTGATCACGTGGTCTTGCAAGACCTCGTACATACCGGCAGGCGGTGTGTGTACTATGCCACTGGAACAAGACCCCCGTGTCTCCTTGAGGAATGGCGGCCGATACTTGATGGTGCTTAGGTCCGTTCTGTCCGTCGACCACAACTACACCTTCACAGCGCGAGTGGAAGGGCGGGTGGAGGCACACGTGGAGGTCAGGGTGGTGGGGGTCATCACCTGCAAGACAGATCACAACACCTTCCAGCAGCTGGACCTGCGGTTAAACTGCTGGCAGCGGGCACAGCAGCTGGCCACCTGCTCTGATGAGCTCCTTGGGGACTACTGCATCTCCCTCTGTGTCCATCACTCCGTCAACACCACCTGCACCTGCGACAGTGCTGGAGCAGCAGCAGATACTCCATAGGTGTGCCTGCCACAAGGCCGCACCCCAGGGTGGATAGGTCTGAGGGGGGAGATCCTGAAGGAGCCTTGCCTTCCCTGCACCATGATCCTCAATATATCCTGTCAGGAGTTAGTCGCTCCCTCCCGCTGTATTGGTATGATTGATCCCAGCAGGGTGGGGGCAGCAGTCAGCGACCGCTGCCACACCTGGCCACAGTGTGGAGTAAGGCGTATGTTTCAGTCACGTGATGTGCATTACCCATGTCCAGATGCACGCCAAGGGCCATACTGTGCCTATGATCTCTTGACGGAGGCGCAGCTAGATCTCTCTTTCCGCAGCAAGGAGACACGACTGGTAACAGGTCTGAAGGTGCTGGTTGGAGAGCCGTAGGTGATGACGTTGGTGCTGGCGTGGGATCCCTGGCGTCACGACGAGTCCATGTCCACCACTAATGTCCGTGTCCTGGCCACGGCTCCTGGACCCAGCCTGACCGCAACACCCCCCACTGATGTCACAGCCAACCATACTCACATTTTTTGCACCTGGGGTGGGGTGGTGTTTTCGCAGTTGGGGCAGGAGGCAGTGCAGCTGCAGGTACAGTATGTCAATGACCACACCTATCGTACCTCTCCACAGGGAACCCGCATGCGACAGGATGTACAATTCCGTAACTTTACCTATAATGTGCAGGTGATGGAAAAGTGTCGCCTTGTGACAGTGGTGCAGCAGCTAGAGGGCGGAATCCTGGAGCACCTGAGATACTCCCGCCTGCGGTTGGAGGCCAAATTCCACAACACCAGTAGCCCCTGCGACTCTGTCCATCCCACCCTCTGCTGGACCCTCCAACCCCTCTCCCACAACACAAGCCTCGACCCCCTGCCTGATCCCTGTGAAGGAAAGGAGGAGGATGAGAGGTGCCTCTCAACGGATCTGGTGTTAGATCTGCCAGAGCGCAATCTCACTGCTGGGATTTATGCAGTCCGCCTCACAACCTCACTGCCCCCTACAGCTCTAACGTTACGGACCCGTCTGTGCACGGGAGGCATAGTGAGGGTCGTGGCACTCCCTCCCACCCTCACTATCACTGGGGGATCACCAAGGACCCAATTTTATGGGGTGCCACTATTACTGGAGGCTTAGTGGGTGGACCCTGAGGATCCACCAGGGGCCACCACCAGTCCTCCATTGATCACGTGGTCTTGCAAGACCACGTACATACCGGCAGGCGGTGTGTGTACTATGCCACTGGAACAAGACCCCCGTGTCTCCTTGAGGAATGGCGGCCGATACTTGATGGTGCTTAGGTCCGTTCTGTCCGTCGACCACAACTACACCTTCACAGCGCGAGTGGAAGGGCGGGTGGAGGCACACGTGGAGGTCAGGGTGGTGGGGGTCATCACCTGCAAGACAGATCACAACACCTTTTAGC